CCAACATTAATACCTAATAGGCATTGCAATCCTCTCTCATTTTGCTAGGTGATAGGATTGCTGTGTCAACTGTGTGCGTGTGTATGTCGATTGGATGAGGGGTTACAGAATAAATTTGCCAAGAGTGTTGTCTGAGTTTCCTTTTTTAAGAACAAAAAAGATTTGCTGTATTTCATGCCTAATCGTACTTTTTTTTTTTATTCATGAAGTCCAAAATCAGTGCTCTTCGTCAGAGTCGCCCTGGGAGCTTTCAGAATATCGCTTGCATTCGGACAAATGCTATGAAGTACCTACCTAATTTCTTCAAAAAAGTGAGTTTTATGAATGCAGGCGAGCGGTGCGTATAACAACTTACTCGTCAAATTTTGGTGGCTATTTGTAGCAGAATTTACCACTTCTGCTTGAAAACACGTCTTGTTGTGTAAGAATGAAAGGTTTATTAATAAAACGCATGCGCGGTAACCAGAACAGAGCATTGGATGTGGTCTTTCAGACTGATTGTTTTCTTTCGTCCATAGGGTCAACTAGAGAAGATGTTCTTCCTCTATCCTGATCCGCACTTCAAGCGTCACAAACACAAGTGGCGCATCATCAGCCTTGCCCTTCTCACGGTTTATGCGTACGTACTGCGGCCCGGAGGTCGCATTTATGCTATGACAGATGTGCCTGAGTTGGCGGAGTGGATGGAAGAGAAGATGGAGGCGCATCCCCTCTTCCGTCGATGTTATCAACTTAGCCTCCCCATTAATGTTGAGCCGTCAGAGTCTCTGGAGTCCGCGAAAGCGGAAGATGCCGTTGTGGGCCTTCTGGCCAGTGGGGTGACTGAGGAGGCGCAAAAGGCCACTAGAGATGGCCGCGGAGCCACTATCTCTGTATTTGAAAGAATTCCCAATCCTGTATCTAGTTAAGTCTATCAAGTGCACCACAGGAACTGATTCTCCACTTGATCTGAACTCGGCTAAGGTGTCTACACAAGTCCCCACGTCAACTAACTTGAGGCCATTTTTGGTCCTTCCTGTTTAATGCCCAACTTCTAGTCCCTCCCACAATTGCGAGGTGACTAATAGCTGGTTGCTAAGATTAAAAATAAATGAATTATTGTACTTCCTCCTTCTGTTTGTAACCTACATATTTCGTTGGGCGCATCGAAGTAAGCCATTCGGGGTAGAATTGTAGTTTGGTGCAGCCTTTGATCGTGACTAGCTATGCCACTACCCTAGCCCTCGACAATTTGCGCTTGCACGTCCCAGCACGTGACTTTAATCCCAGTAGCAGCCTCTCACCGCCATTAATGCATGTTCACTCTCACCGCTGTGATGTACTACGGTCTTCCAGGAAGGTCTAAAATGCTACAATGCTAGTCAGACTAGTGCTGCGGGTAAACATCCAATGTGGGCGAACCGATTTAAGCAACTGAACACGCTGACCAACGCCAACGCTGAACGAAAACCTAACATTCCTGAGAGGAGAAATCTCACTAATCTTAACTGAACGCAATTCATGCACGCACTCCAGCCCCCCATTACTTTTCTAGATGTCAAAAGCAACGAGAGACGGCAGTGGTCTCCACTCGCAGCACAGTCAAATTCACACCCAGCCCTGACGACAGGGTTAGTGGCTTTTCAGATCACCTGAATAAAG